TTCAAATGTGAGTAACTCTGAAGTACTCAGAGTAATTGCAGGAAATAGTATTTTAGGCGTTGCAAATGTTGCCAGATGAGCCTAATAAACCATAGAAGTTGTGTTGTTATTGCCGTACAATCTTAGGAATGTTTTAGTGATGTTTTGGGTACGTTGAGTGAGTGATTCGTAAGAATAATTGAGTAAAAATCAGTTCCGGAGCGTAACAGCGTCTTTCTGTCTGTCACGACTGTTCATGTTTTCGGTCGAAATCGTTTTGGACGTAACTTTTGATTTGTAAGTCCGTTTTGACCCCCGTTCGAAGCGTTGGAAAGCTAATAAATAGGACTATAACATAGTATAGATAAGGGAATTGGTTTCCCAGTATTTTTACATCTAATTATGTTTGAGAAGTCAATTGGGTATATGTTCTAGTAACGAATCATGTTCTGGTTCAGTGATGTCTTGATGTTTTGATGCTGCGATTTCCTGATGAATTACCATGGGGGTAACTGTGATAATATGATGAACTAACATGAGTAGGACTGTGAAATGTGATTGATAGGCGATAGTGTGAGGATTATCGCGAGTATAATTTTTACATCTAATTATGTTTGAGAAGTCAATTGGGTATATGTTCTAGTAACGAATCATGTTCTGGTTCAGTGATGTCTTGATGTTTTGATGCTGCGATTTCCTGATGAATTACCATGGGGGTAACTGTGATAATATGATGAACTAACATGAGTAGGACTGTGAAGTTTATGTGATTGATAGGCGATAGTGTGAGGATTACCGCGAGTATAATTTGATAAATTAATATGAGATAATATGAGGTAGTATTATGAATTAATATGGGATAATATGGGATAATATGACTATGAGCTAATATGTGATTTGTACGTGATTATATGATGACATGATGTGTGAGATTAATTATTATGATGATATGATGTTTGATGAATTATGATGAGTTATGTGATGATGATGATTATTATGATGATTTATGTGATGATGATGATGATTATGATGAATTATGTGTTAACATGAGATATGATGATTTATGTGATGACGATGATTATTATGATGAGTTATGTGAGATACGGTGATATGTTGTATAATGATGATTACTGTGATGAGATATGATAGTATGATGTATGATGATTATTATGATGAAATATGATGATATGTTGTATGATGATGATTACTGTGATGAGATATGATAACATGATGTATGATGATGATTGTTACGATGAGCTATGATGACATGATTTATGATGATGAATATCACGATGAGATATGACGTGTAATGATGATGAATATGATGAATGATGATGCACCATATGTTGTTATTATGAGGATTATTGTGAAGTGTGCATCATGCATTCATGTGCATCCGGACTTCGGTTCAGGACTTCGATTAATTTGACTTCAATCCCACTGTGTGGATGTGAAGTGTTTTGATGTGCTCCGATCCTATTGATGGGAATCTATGGAGGGTTGATGGCCCAGTGTCCATCGCGCTGTGATGATTGGTACCGCATGCATTGAGTCTATGTTGCATTTGCATTTATGAGTCTTTGTGTATAATTATGACATTGTGGCCTTTGAGGCATAATTGAAGAATATCAATGTGTTGAATATAACTATGAGTAATACGTCGTTTATGCATTAATTGTTATACATTGTTATTATGAATTGTTTTACTCACCCTGCCTGTTTGAATGTTACATCCACGTGGGTAACGTGCATATGAGCTAGTTTAGCCGTGGACGCCGTCGAGGAGTATTTTGAAGTTTTAGAGTCGTTAGCCTTTATGGTTAATTTAGAGGGTCTTGCTCTGATATGTAACATCGGGTTGGGTTCTTTGAGTTGATTGTATATCATTGGGTTATTTTACCGATGTTCCCTTATGAGGAAAACATTGAGTTATGTTTGAGTTCGCTGTATATGATGTTTTGATATATTTTGAGAAAACTCGTGTGTTACGGAGTATTGACCAATTTTGTTGACTTTGAGAAATGTACGCCCTTTTGTGGCTTTTAATGAAAGTTAATATTTTACTCTGAAATCCGTGTTATTTTGTCGTAATATATGTGGGATAGAATAAGGGTGTTACAGCGAACATGATAGTAGACCAGCACTTGTTTCGACCATAACTTTTAAATCGTAACTTTGTTTTACACGCGGTCGGAAGCGTTGGAAAGCTTATTCAATGCTCTATAAGACAAGGACAAAATATAATTGTTTATATACCTACAAAAATGAGAGAAAAACAATTAAATCAATGATATTTACGTGATACACAATATATACACTATAACGTAAACTATACAATATATGCACAAAAGTTGAGGTTTATTGGTTGAATTAAGCCAATAAGTGCTAATTATTTACACTCAAAATCAGTATAATTTAGCACTTATCATGTCCCCTATTTGAGTCGAGACTTGGAGGTCGCGGAGTAACTTCACGTGGCATGGCCACTTTGGTGGGAGTTTGATATGGTATCGCGACGGGGCTATTTTGTAAAACTATTCCTCGTATGCTACTATCTCTAGGAGGGACATATTGTAAGTTTTTTTTTAATTCTCAGGATCCAAATTATTAGGAATAAGGATTTTTGCTTGTGAACCAAGTTGTACACCTTGTTCAACAAGTCAATGGCTTCTTGGATGCCTACATTGGCTTGCAGCAGTTTAAGGCGAGGAAGTATCTCTATTCTCAGTACTACAGCTTTATAAAAGAGGTTGGTTTGAAGGCTCACCTTGATAAGGTGGAGGAAAAGGTTGAGAGGATGGAAAAGCTTGGAATTCTCCAAACTTATTTCTTAGAGGAGCCATATCTTGCGGTGTTGGAATGCATATTGGGTCGTCCATCTCCAGCGGAAAAGGATGAGCCTACTAGCTTCAGTAGCTACAATGGCGACTTTGGTAGACCGAATTACTTTCAAATTCACCAGAGCTCCGGAAGTTTGGTATTAGATTGTTTGGGAAGAGATCAATGTATTTGAGGAAAGAACCATAGTTTGGATATGCGGAAAATGTTTGTTCTTCATGGAATTCATAGGAATCAGAAGCCCATTTTCACAAATGACGTCACTGTTCCGTTCAGGATCTAGAAGTGGTTAGTAAAACGGTTATATGAGATATTGGATTGGTGAAGCAAGCTTCCAGTGTGACAAAGACAGGTTGGCCTGTAAGGTTAACATTCCAACATCCAAGTCAATAAGAGAATGAGAAGTAAAGTGTGAGTGAGAATGAGTTTTAGTCCCTAAAATGGCACGCTTTCTCTCTTATATAAAGTGAGCGGTTAAAACTGTCAGCGTGAAAAAAAAACGTGTTACCCAAATGGTCGTTGAATTTAATCAGATGATGATTAAAGTGCTTTGAATGTGAAATCCTCTGCCATTGGTGGAATGAGAAATCATTTGCTCCATATTCTCTTTCGCTGGATATCGCTCTTGGGTCTCTCGTTACGGACTTTGCGAACAGCCTAGAACAATAAACAAATTTAAAAGATAAACTATATATATATATATATATATATATATATATATATATATATATATATATATATATATATATATATATATATATATATATATATATATATATATATATATATATATATATATATATATATATATATATATATATATATAAAAGATTAGGAGGAACAAATTTGAACCTATCGATTGAAATCGGCCGACCCATTGTCTTTTTATGTAAATGGGTTGGACATGTCTTGTGTTGGGTTGATTCATCAATTGTTTAATTTGGATAGTATATGATTGTTTCAGGCGAGTTTAGATGATTATTTTGGACTCGTCGAAAACTGAATCCGACCGAACTTAACTTATATTTATTTTATTTGTTTTTATTACTATTTGTCCGACCCATTATAAAAATGAAATTTATAATGTTGTCAAGTTACCATCTTTTTTATAATTTAATTGTGACATTGTATATTCAAATGAATAGAATACATGCAATATAAATTTTTGAATGTTATTTAATTTATGATTAACGAATGATAATAACAAAATTAATGCCAAATGATGTTGAAAATGTTACAACATAATAATAATTTTTTTCAATAATAAAAAATAATTCTTCTTTGGGCTATTATAAAATTTGATAGTTTTTTATTAAAAAAAAAATAAAAATAAAAATTTGTAAATTTAATAAAAACTAATTATTTTTATAGATTTCACTTAATAAAAATTAAACTATTTAAAATTGATTTAATTAATTCTGTCGAAAATCAAAATTTTATTAGTTGAAATTTGACCTTAAGAATAAAATTGCAATTTGTGTCAAATTTAAGTTTTAAACCCAATTTCAACTCAAACCGCCCAATTGTCCAACCAACAAAAGAGTAACTCCAAAAAAAGAAAGTAAGGACTAATTTGTTGCAAGCATCTGATACGTGGAGTTTGCCATAGAGTCTCAATTGAAGGAAGGTTTGGTTACGAACAAATATAAATGATAAGTGAATAAGCATAAAAAAAATTATACGTTGAGGATAAGAGAATTTTTTAATGTACTTTTTATTTATAACATTGAGAGTGTAACTCAAAAACGAATAAAACGTATTTACTGAAGTGCGTTCGAAGATACATATTTAAAAAGTGAAAAAAAACATAGAGTGCATTAAAAAATTCTATGGAAAAGTTAGGAACAAAATCGCTAAATCATGATACTCGAGAGACTAAATGTAGATTTAACCTAGAGAGGTAGGAAGGAGAAAAGCATTCATCATGTAGAATGGAATGACTTAAGTTACGGATTTATGTAAATACCAGAAAATTACTGACGAAATATCTGAATCAAAGTTGGAATGGCAGTAAATTAGATTATAAATTTTGCCATTATAAATTTCATGAAAATGATTGTACCAATTTTCTATTTTCATGAAAATGATATTTCAAAAAAAACAGTGCCCCTGCAGTACCTTAATGTAGAATGTACAAATACAATTTCAGTAACCATTCAAAACTGTTAATATTACTTTATATTCTACTCAACCTCCATAACAGAATTTGCTTGGTCTAAGAAGCTCTTTAGCTCCTTTACTCTTTGCCTAGTCAATGCAACACAATCCTGAAACCACAGCAATAGTAACTAACATCAATTTATGCATCCAGTAAAAAAATTCCACCCTTTAATTCAATTGCATTGTGCAAACTTACCTGAATAGCAGAAGTAAAGGCAAGAACTGGCCCACCGGGTTTGTAAAGTGATATTAGTTGACCAGATGTATCCAAAACAATTGTCACATGGGTTTCGATTATGGATTCTTCTTCTGCGGTAGGATCAGCCAATATGTAGTTCTTGTGAAGTATGCATGTTAGCGATAATGGAATGCTTTTTAATGTGAGCTTCCTCTTCTCCTTATTCACTTGCTCCTTTGTCTGCTTCTGTCCATCTTCCTCAGACATCAGTACTATTTTGCCATCGTCATTCATGGCAACAGCAGGAATTTGCACTGGAAACATGGAAATGTACATAAGTCAAAACTAATATGCTAATACCACAGCATGAATGTTAAAAGAAAAAATTAAGGACATCGATGTCTTTGACATGAAATCATACAAGTTGTTGGTAATTTGATAAACATAATTTATTTTCCAATGCAGTATTTGTTGAGTATACAAAGGTACAACTAATAAGAAGCTGGATTATTAATTGGTAATACATTATAGAAGGAAACATGTAACCAGATTATTAGAATATCTATACTATACTGCTATATTAAAGCATGAGCTCTAGTCTGCTAAATAACTCATTCTCCTGAATTAGTTGGTCCTTGAGCATTGTTGTAACAATGATTGACGGCTAGCGCAGTTTGTTAATAAGTAACTGTCAAAGAGCTCTCTGTGGCACTATAAATGTATCACCTGACTGAATCAATTAAGCCAATACATCAGAATATCAAATATCCTTTGCAGACAGACATTCTCTCTCCCAATTTGCTTCGGAGAGTCTTTAATTTTCTCAGTTTCAGTCACTCCCAGATATATGGTATCCAGGGCCTTGTGTGTTTAACACGTGTGTATGACCAAACCAGTTCAAACACCTGAACAGACACCATGACTAAGTAGCAGTCCTGCCAGAAATTCCTTTTCTCCAGCCCTAATCACCATTGATTTTTTCTCAGTACTCCTTTATCACTCTTGCCCTCACCCACAAATGGCCCATTCAGCAATTGGATGTAAATGATTCATTTTCCAGTGGATTCAATGACCTGTACATGGTTGCGTCGACCTCACTTTGATGCTGCTGACAAACTTCTGATTTGCAAACTCAATAAAGACTCAAGTGTATTCTTCTAGGATTTGGGATTTTGCCCAAATGTAAACTGCAGTTGCTTGTTTCTCAAAGGGAAACTAAAGAAATGAGAGAAAATCAATTAAGTTTGTAACACAGGCCTGGTTTGAAAGACTCAAGTGTATTCTTCTAGGATTTGGGTTTTTGTCCAATGTAAACTGTCATTGTTTGTTTCTCAAACGGAAACCAAAGAAGTTATGTATTCATCTATGTCTGATATGATAGCAGTTGGCAGCACATCTTTTATAACCGATGATCTCATTGCCAAGTTAAATTCACTCTTTGCCTTGAAATGGTTTGGTTTTCAGGATTACTAAATCAATTACGAGGCCAAGCAGGTGCCCAATGACTCCATCGATCTTTAACAGACTAAATACAGTTGTGTTCTTCTGTTAAAAGCCAACGTACTTAGTTGATGCTAAGGGGATTTCCACCCCTATGGTGAACAGATTCATGATCATCAAGCATGGAGCTAATTATGTCCATTGTTGGAACTTTGCACCACACAATTCTCACCAAGCAGCAGACAATTCAACATAAATAAAGCTTGTCAGTTCCTCTTTCAATATACCAAGGATCACCGCCAGGTTGTTAAGCAAAACCTTCATTCTCTCGAGAACCCTTATCACTCATGACTTGCTTTCCCAATCGATCAACCATCATAAATTACTCACCATTTTGCGACATGGACTAGGATAGGTGATCCAGATGATGAGTCCTCCATCTTTGGCTTGTGCATATTTTAGGCCCAAATCTGGTCTTTTGGTTGCTAGATACAATACTGAGGTCGGATATCATACATAACCTGGCTAATACAGTAGCTGAAATCATGTGGACTCAAAGGCTAAGGGGATTTCTACTACACTTTGTTGTGTGAGTGTGATATTTTAAACAATGAGTCATTACCATAAAATCATAAACCATGTTCTTCACCCTCAAACAAAGCACGTGGACCTGGACTCATTCTATGTTAGAGAAAAGGTGCTATACAAAAGCCTTGCTCGTATTCTTGTTTAGGATCAGGGCACTGGACTTCGGGTTACTCTATCCATGTTTGAGAGAAAAACATAACAGTACCTTCTGTACTATACTACATTATTATACTCTCTCGTGTGATCTTTACTACTGTGTAACTCATTCACTTGAATTAGCAAGAGGTTGTTCTGAGCCGGCATTGCTGTCACAATGACAACTAGTACAGTTGGTTACAACTGCAACTGTCAAAAAAGCTCATTGTATCACTATAAATGTATCAGCTGGGGCTGAATCCAATCCATTCAAGCCAGTATATATCATAATACCAACCAAATGCACTTCATAAAAATTCTTTCTGCCCTTTTTTCTCAAGATTCTTACTATTATTTTCTTGTGGATGTTTTCACTTTCTAAAACAAGTATTCAGTATATTATGAGGACAGTTCTTCGCTGCACTATAAGTGATTCATCTGGAGCTGAATAATTCAAGCCAATATATGAAGAACACGATAGAACCAACTGAATAACAATAACAGAACTATCAGAATACCAAACAAGCTTCACATAAACTGTCTATCTCCCCCACCCTCCCTTTCTCTCTCTAGATTCTAACTTTTTTTGGCTTACACTTCATATCACTTATTGACACTAATAAAGATTCAGCATACCATGAAGAAAGTAATCACACTTTATAATAAAATAAAAACTATACAAACTCCATGCAAAGTGTATCCAATTCAAAAAATATTTAGCTCCATTCAGGAAAGCAGTGCTAGGAAGTGATCATTGACTCCTCTCATATTACTACTGAGTTCTACCAACTGAAATGTATTTGTCCAGATTGCCTTCAATTACTTTATATGTCGTGTAAATAAACAATCCATAAGTCAGTGGGTTTTATTTAACAGTGCTTTACATGCAAGAATATTTTATTTTATCTTCTGAATGATTCACAATATGACTGGAGACACACTACTTACAATGAGATAAGGCAGCAACTGCGGAGAGTAAAGCAGCATCAAAAAGAGCCCCATCAGCATCCAAACAATAGATATCCTGCATTTTGTCATTCAATAATTGAGAACTAAACATTCAAAGGAAATAAAGATAAAGTACCACACCCATAAAATGCATTGCTTATGGTTGATAGCTGAAATTTGATAAATGCAGCACATATAAACCCTTACCAAGTAAGCCATCCATGCAGCTTTTCCACCAACCAAGGACAATTCTTTCAAATCAATCATTCCAGAACTGAAAAAAATAAAATAAGATAAAGGTCATAGAAATAAGATAGTTTAAACTCAACTGGAACCAAATTTAACTGATCAAATGAGCTACTGATACTACTGATCACCAAAAAGTATAACATAGAACAACACAAATACAAAGTTCTTGAAAGCTATAGGCAGGAAATCACCATAGGAAGAATTTATAACCAGGAGGGGAGGAGGGGAGCGGGGGAACAAATTGTCTGAATCATAAACCAAGCCAAACACAACAGACTATCGCCGCTTTGGTAGAGTTATAAGAGACAAGTTAATGTATATTCACAAAGTTTTCCTTACCATCTAAAGACCTAAACCTAAAAACTCTGCTTTATTTTCCTATTTACCTTCCACCTCCCCCTTTGTTGTGGAAAAGACAAGGTTCGTAGTGATTCTGCTAGAATTAGCTTCTCACATGATCCAAAATAGTTACTAAGCAACATGAAAGATTAAAACTTGCCTTGAAATGGTGTCAGACAACTGCTTTGACACAACCGGCTCTGCTTCAGCAGGCCTGCCAGGCCTAACAATCGGAGAACAAATTGAAGGCATGTGGAAGTCAATAGCTGAAATAATAAATATCAACACATCAAAATCTCACCCTATGTGTCATCACAACTAAATAATCAACAAGCAAGTGGCAAAGCTGGTAATGGCTGCGAACCTAAGCAACCCTCATCTGGTGACTCCAAGGAAGGAGTCATAACTTCCATTTTAATAGCAGTCAACATAGTCTGAGCAAAGAAGACATAATGAAATCAGTTAAATTCATTCTAATTCAATAATAAACTCTCCTACTCAAACGCAAGCACAAAATAGACACAAGAAAAAAACAAATAACTAACCGTGGATCCAATCTTCACAAGAGCTGATCCATTAGCAGATGCAACAGCACCTAACCATAAAGAGAAACAACCACCTCAATAAACTCCAATCGTGAATAACATATTATCCGCATATGCAGTTGTGTGTGTATCTGAAAGAGCTTATGAAATGTCTATTAGCTATTTTCTCCTTATATCCATCAACTCTCAAGAATACATGTTTGGATAAACAGCTTAGCTTAGTTAAGCACTTATAGCGTAATCCCTTATCATATAAGTGCTCATGTAAAATCTATTTCAATAACAACAGATAAGATCACAATAGACCATGCCAATACAAGTTATATATTGTTTCCATAAACTATTCTAGAGAGCTTCCGGGAGTACGCTGGAAGAACAAGTCATAAGCTGCTTCTATAAATTCTCTAAAACAGTCTCACAACTCACAAGTGCTTTTGTCGGTAGATAAGCTCAAATAAGTCAATCAAAATAGAACCGATGAAAACAAGTTACAACTTATACGAACATAATTTAACCACATTCATGTCATGTTTGGATAAACACCTAAATTTGTAGCATATAGCATAAGCGCGTATGTAATTTTCGTATAAGCACTTATTTATCCAAATGTGACCTAAATAACAAATGTTTGAACATTAGAATAGAAATGAGTTTAAAAGCAACTAACCAAGAAATATACTTGTTTCTCTAGCTTCTTTAAGTGGTCTACCATCAGGACGTATAGATTCAGCAAGATGCCGCTCGAAATATCGAAGCGGAAAAAGGCGTCGAAACGCATCAACCTCCATTTCAGACGACAAGTCCTCCGTTGCATTTGGAAGACTCATTCTTTTTGTAAAATAGTATGTTAACAAAACAGAAAAAAACGAACCAGAAATAACAAAATGCAATGCGACGATGGTTGAATAATAATTGAAAATAGCGTCCAAAACGATACCTTTTGAGTGAGGAAAGAGTTTTCCGGTGACGGCTTTGGGAACGACGGCGCCGTACGGTGTAAGAGAGGTTCGGTGGTTTTCGTGAGGTTTTTGGTTGGGAGATGAGTGAGTTTTTTTTTTGGTATGGGTTAATGGCTGATTCGGGTTTGGTCAAACGGAGTGAGTCAATCCGGTTTATTCCGGGTTGGGGTACCGGGTCAAAACTGCATTGATGGACGGTTAAAACAATCAGAAACCGGGAAAATTCGACATCAACAAATGAACGGTGAATCAAATAACCTCAAAATTTAAATAAAGAAAAAACTCCTTTGAAAAAATACTCAAAAAATAAGAAGAAACGTTTTAACCTCGAATGGTATACTATTCCAATAAGTATTTGTATGTTATTCCGATACATATTTGTATTCATTTATATTATTCCAATACTATATATCTAATATGTATCTATAAAAACAACACTCTATAAGAGATAAATAACAATCCTTAACTATCCTTTTTTTTTCGAATTGGTTTAAATTTACAAATGCTATTTTACCATTTTCATTATTAATCCAACCTTTTAACTTATTTATCCCATTTTAATCATTATTGTTTACCATTACTTATAATTGTAAAATATGTTATTTGTGCATAATTTAAAAAGTAATTAATTACACTTCAGCAATTCAACATACACAATAAAAATTAAAAGTAATTTATTTATCTTTTAGGAGAGCAAACGTAGTCCTAAACTCTAAAGACTCATTTGTATTACCATTTACACTACAAACAGAAGAATGGACATTCACACCACCATTTTACAATTACATACTTTCTTCATCACATACAATAACAACACTGTTACAATTCTATCACCTTCTTCAATTCAACAACAACCATATACAACAACAAGCCACAACACAAAATCATTTTCTTTTTTACAATTGCTTCAGGTGCTTTACCGCCACATATTTTAAAGATAAAAGTAGGGACTCCACTGATGTTGTTGCGAAAAATAGACCCTAAATTTGCGTTGTGTAATGGGACAAGGTTGTTATGTCGTGGTTTTTTTTTAATGAATTTGATTGACGTTGAAATACTTATAGGCCACAGCGATGGAAAAAGAGTTTTCTTGTCGAGAATTAAGCTCAAAGTCACTAAAGGTGCAGGACTTCCTTTTGTACTTATTAGAAAACAGTTTCATGTCAAACCAAGCTTTGCATTCACTATAAATAAATCACAGGGACAAACAATTCCAAATGTCAGAATTTATCTTCCACATATTTTCAGTCACGAACAATTGTATGTTGATTTATCAAGAGGTGTTTTGCGGGCTGCAACAAGAGTGTTAATTAAAGACGGAAGAGTAGATGAGAAAGAATGTGAGTTTACAAAAAATATAGTTTTAAAAGAAATTTTATTGTCACAAACTCAGATATTTATCTATTATGTTTAATCATTCAACTATACTTTTGCAATGTCACACTAGGCGTGTACTTACTAGATTACACTATATTGTTGACTACTAAAATTTACTTCATTTATTTTGCAGTGAAACGAGAGATATTTCTGATTTTGATTCCATGGTTGACCTTCCTATTAAGCAACAATGTAACTTAATATTTCTGTTAATGTTTATGTTTATTTGCTTAATAAACTGTAAGAAAGATTTTTGTTCTTATTCTATCTAAATCTTCTTATGATTTTGAATAATCTATAGCAATATACACATACAAAACTTAATTTCGGTGTAACCTAATTTCTTTTTCTATAATACGGTAATCCTAACCACCAAATTATTTCACTCACATTATTTACTTACTTGAAAAAACTGGTTAAATAAAGTCATTGTCACAATGCAATTTTCTCAATTCAAACAAAATTTAATGCGCGAATATTACATATTGTAAACAAAACTTAATATGTATCTAAATAAATACAAGATGTTTCATCATATAAATAGTTTATATTAAAATCAATATGAATAGTTTATATTAAAATCAAACTTATAAAAAAATACGTTGTTAATATTTTCACGCGTTATCGCAATAAAAAAACCAGACAAATGGAGTGTCCGTTTGGACGCTAGTTTATCTATAAAAACAACACATTATAAGAAATAAATTAAAAAAACCTTAATTATCTTTTTTAGAATTGGTTTAAATTTACAAATTCGGAGTTTTTTTTTTGGATGAAACACCATTTTCATTATTAATAGAACCTTTTAACTTATTTATCCCATTTTAATCATTATTTTTTACCATTACTAAAATATGTTATTTGTGCAGAATTTAAAAAGTATTGATTTTTTAAAAAGTAATTAATTACACTTCGGCAACTCAACATACACGATAAAAATTAAAAAATCATTTATTTATTTTTTTGGGAGAGAAAACATAGTTCTAACACTCTAAAGACTCCCTGTATTACCATTTACACTGCAAACAGAAGAATGGACATTCACACCACCATTTTACAATTACATACTTTCTTCATCACATACAACAACAACACTGTTACAATTCTATCACCTTCTTCTTTCATTCAACAACAACAATCATATACAACAACAATACACAACATAAAATCATTTTATTTTTTATTCATCACAACTCAACAATTATCAAAACAACTATCACACAACAAAAACAAAATCAAAAAATATAATAAGTGTTAGAATTAACCCAATCTTGGAGAATTTCGAACCAATCTTGATTAACAAGATTCAATCAATCAATAGAATTCCTCTCTTGTTCTTTACTATTCACTCGAGTGAATCAATCACACCTTGATTGCAAGAATGATTCTGACAGCAATTGTTAATGGAAGAAGAAAGAAAAATTAAATTGGGAAGAAATAAAGAAATTAGGGTTTGAACCAAATATGGAAGAAGATATTTTTGTAGAGTTTTCTCTCTACTATTCAAAACTGAATATTATTCTTTACAACTGTAAAAATTTGTTCTACAATAATAGAGGTTACTCCCTATTTTTAGATTTTGCGTTTGTTTGCTCCCAAAGCAAAATCCAAAAATACAAAGCCCAAAATACCTAATTCTACTAACACTACAAAATTAGGCCTAAGTCGAAATCCCTATTGAGGCTAACTCCTTCGACACTTCAACAACTACACAACTCAGACACACTAGATTATTTTGACACAACCTTGTTTTTGTCGAACAACCTACTTTGGTACAAGGAATTGCATTCTCAACACACCACTTAATTCATTGTGTCTAAACTATCTATATTCATCGTAGACCTTAACTTGAACACTTTGACTTGCACTCATTTTGTTATGATATCTGCAATCTGATTCTCAGTTCTGTAGTATTCTAAGTTCATCTTCCATTATGCTACATGCTCTCGAAGATAGTGGAACCTCATTTTGATGTGTTTGCTTCGTCCATGTGCTATCGGATTCTTCGCGAGATTGATAGCATACATGTTATCAGTCTTCATGATAATTGCTCCACGATTCTTTATTGTAATCTCTTCGACCAGGTTCACCATCCATATTGCTTAGCATGCATAGAGAGAAGCAACTATGTACTCTATTTAAAATGAGGGTATTGCAACTATTGGTTCCTCAACATAAACACATAACCAGTTGTGGATTTTTGATCCTTAGCATCACTACACCAACTTGAGTCAGTGTAACTCACTAGTTTACATTCTTTTCCTTCATCAATCGCAGGAAACAAAATTCCATAGTCGAGAGTTCCTTTCAGATACCTCAGTATCCTTTTCATTGCTGCTAGGTGAGATACCATTGGCTTCTGCATGAATCTACTCACCATACCTACATTGTATGCAAGATCATGCCTTGTGTGACAAAGGTATTGAAGTGATCTAATGAGTCTTCTGTAATGTGTTAGGTCGACATCATCTTCATTTGTATCTTTCGACAGTTGAATTTTGGGCTCAGCTGGAGTCGAAGTTGGGTTGCAATCTTGCATCTCAAATATCTTGAGTATTTTGCCTGCATATCTTCTTTGATGTATTAACAAACCTTTACTACTCTTATAAAATTAGATGCCAATGAAGTATAAGATATCTCCCAAGTCTTACATCTAAAAATCCTCACTTAGGTCATGTTTGAAATCTTCGATTTCCTTCTTGCAACTTCCTGTTATCAACAACTCATCGACATAGAGACATAGTATAAACAATTCACTATTGCTTCTCCTTACATATACTTCATGCTTATTTGTGAACTTCACAAATTCTTTCTCCCTTAGAAAGTTATCTATCTTCTTATTCCAAGCTCTTAGAGCTTGTTTGAGTCCATACAGGGCTTTATGCAGCATGTACACCTTTCTTTCTTCACCTTATTTCATAAACCCAACTAGTTGTGCAACATAAACTTCTTCATCTAATGGGCCATTTAGGAATGCACATTTCAAATCCATCTGACACATGTACCAGTTATTCATGTTTGCTAAACCGACAACCAACCTAATTGTTTTGATTCTAGCAACAGGTGCAAAAACTTCGTCGAAGTTGATTACTTCTTTTTGAAGAAATCCTTTCGCCATAAGTCTCACCTTGTGTCGAGTTAATTATCCTTTAGGATTCAACTTAACCTTGTATACCCACTTCACATCGATTGCCTTGAGGCAATTCGACTAGTGACCAAGTGTTGTTAACTTCGATGGACTCTAGTTCTTCATTCATTGTTTTCACCCACTTCGAATCTTTCGATGCCTCAACTGCATTGACTAGTTTAACATCTGCGCAAAAAGCATAGTGTACCAGCTCACCTTCTCTATTGACCACATCATATAATGTGATTATACATTATTTCAACCTTATAGACATGTTTCTTGTTCGTTAAGGTCTGCTTGGGCCTGCTTCACCTCTGACTTTTTCTTCTCGAACTTCTCTTTCGACTTCACTAGCTGCTTCTTC